AGGAAACGTAAACGTGAAGAATCCGAACCTCCTAAATCTGCAGCACGCAGTCGCAGTTCTTCTCGGCCACCACGTGATCTTTCTGGTCTGCGAGATGCAAAGGTTTGTTTCAGTTAATTTGAGTGATCTAAACTTTACAGAAAAAAACAACCAATGGTCTGGTAGCACTTTATAGACTAACAAAACATGTAGATGGTATGAGCTGTCGTGGGCACAGCTCACTTCTTCAGATGACCGGAGTTATGAGTTTGGGTTGCGTACACCCGAAATAAATAGAAGAAGGGAAGGGGAGGAAAGAAAAAAGGAGGGGGATGGGAGACAGAGCATCAGTAAGTATCTGAAGATTGGATAATTAAGCCGAAGCAGATAAAAATCAAAGTCAATAGATAGACTCCCATGTGAAGGAAGGATACGTCTATTGACTTTGGATAGTTAAACTGAATTAGATAAAAATCAATCTTCAGATATTTACTGATGCTCTGTCTCCCACTCCTCTCCCTTTTTCTTCCCTCCCCTTCCCCTCTCCTATTTATTTCGGGGGTACGCATCCCAAACTCATAACTCCGGTCATCTGAAGAAGTGGGCTGTGCCCACAAAAGCTCATGATACCATCTACATGTTTTGTTAGTCTATAAAGTGCTAGCAGACCATTTGTTGTTTTTCTGTAACAGACTAACTCAGCTACCTCCTGAAGCTTCTACACTTTACAGTATAGCCTCTCCCCGAGTTATGAACCAAACACTTGGCCATAACTCGATCTGTTCGTAACTCGGACCCCATTGAGTTACGTGCGAGCGTGCTGTTCGTAAGCGCGGGTCGCGTTCGTAACTCGGGGACCGCCTTTACGACCGCTCCATGGGAGCTTTGGTCATAAGTGCGAACAGTCGTAACTCAACCGTTGGCAACTCGGGGAGCGGCTGTAATCACATGCATGGTCACATTTACAGATGTCGTTAATAGAATGTAGTTGAGGCTTTACTAAGTGAGCAAAGCTTCAAATGATCTTCAGTGATACTTTGCTCTGGTTCTGTTTCAGTGTATATTTTGTGGAGTGGGAGAATGTCTGCTCTTCGTGATATAAAGATTTATCTAATCCCTTGCACACACTGAAAAATGAAAACACATTAAAGATAAACCATAATACAAAACAGTTTAAAAATGTCTGTCTTTCTCCAAACACTCTTAGTAATACTCAGAATTTAGTATTTTTTTAGGCATCTGAGAAAGAAAGCACTCTAAATTGAAATGGAATTCTTTATTAACTTCACATATCTTGACACTTAAATCCTGTCTATAAATATTTAAATTCCCAAAGATCCAATTAAGTCAGTCTTAATGTATTTGGGAATAGGATGCTTGCCTGAGTTTTTCCTTACAAAAGGAATTTCTAACGGAAAAAAAAATATTGGAAAGGAGATTTGTTTCCACATTGTTACTTTTTTCTTACATGTGACCTTGAAAACCCTGTTTCTAAATATGGTTTGTGCTGGGCCTTTGCTTTGATATCTCCTTCCTGATGTTGTATAATTTTCTAGACCTTTAAATAGAATTTTGTTTCAGGTTTCTTGCAGAGGAGAAGATTGAAATAATCTCCTTTAAATATTGTTTTTTGTTTCAAATAGATGGTGAAGAAAGTTAAGACTATCATGAAGAATTCTCAAAAGAAAATGAATCGCCTGGGCAAGAAAGGAGAGGCAGATAGGCATGTGTTTGACCTTAAACCCAAACATTTACTGTCAGGCAAAAGAAAATCTGGTACAACGCAAAGAAGATAAAACCTTTTTCTGAATTAAAACACTTTGTTGTTCTGTTTTTTTTTTCTAATACGTTAGCTTGTTTAGTCCGGAAACAAAAATAATTATTGAAGAAATGCAGAAACCTTTCATTGGTAACTATTTAGATCTAACTTTAAAAAGGGATAGTTTGACATTTTGGTTTCTAAGTCCACAATGGGTTAATATGACTGTCACTACCAAAAAAAAAGTTTTGGATGGACATCAGATTGACATCAATCTAGATGAACCAGCTGAATAACTGCCGAAGGTCAGGATAGTAAATGCAAATAGACTTGGAATATATTGTCTTAAGACCATAACTAGAAACTTAGTATTAGAATGGTCAGTTGAAATGATCTTAAGGATATTTTACTCAACAGTGATGCAAAAAATACATAATGAACAATAATAAAATAAATAGTAATAATTAGCATTGTGTCACGCACACAGTGTTTTCAGCGCATGCAAAGTTGGAGTTTTAATAGTTTACATTAAAAAAATCCAGTGCTATAGAGCATTTACTTTTTCTATAATCTTGGTTACAACGTTTGCTTATCTCTGTACCTAATTGCACATGGCTTGTTTATAAACAAAAAATAGGCAATATTTGTGCTTTAATAAATCAATAGGATCTGTTACCTTTGTTCTCAGCTCAAAAGCTGCTTGTTTCATTCACTGTTAGTGCATTTAATTTAATTTAATTTAATTTAATTTAATTTCCAGGCAGTCCCCAGGTTACATCAATCCGACTTAGGTCTGATCCCTAGTTACAAACGGGGGGGAGGGCAGCTAGTGCGGGGTGCCTCCCCCACTGTCGCCGCCTCTGGCGGCACGGGGGGCGCTTCCCCCCCAGCAGACCAGGGAGACGTGGAGCTAGCCCCCCCCCCAGCAGACCAGGGAGACGCGGAACGGCTTTCTCGCTGCAGAGGACGTGGGTCTGCTGGGGGGAAGAAGACACCAGCCAAAAGGGGACACTCCAGAGCGGAAAAATTAATTTCCTAGGGAACAGCAGGAGCAGCAGGCAGTGAGACCCATTGTGTTACAGTCCCCACCTTGGGAAGGATCCTTGAAGAAGAATAGGGAAGGAGATTGGGCAAGTGGGGAGGAGAACTGGAGGAGCCTGGCAGAGGTGAAGCTGAAAAATTACCCAGTGGTGTGGGTGGGCAAGAATGGGGAGGAGCAGGACAGAAGGGAAGAGGGGATAAGCCCCAACCCCACACCCTGGCTGGAGCGGAGCAAGGTAAGCCCCGAGGGGATGGGTCTGGTTGCAAAGTGGGTGAGTGGACAATGAGGATAATTTTAATGAATCTTATAAGCAACATGCACTTTCCATTACTGCACTGTTTTAATAGTCAGTTTTTACTGCGTTGGCAGCCCCATCTTTTTCATTCTGATAATCAGACTTTGTGTAAAATCTTCAAAAGCAGCTAATGCAGGGATGCACAAAATATGGGCTGCAGGCCAGATTTGGCCTCCCACAATGTACTGGGGCAGGCTCCCTACCTGCTGTGTGCTTCATGCCACTCAAAGCTATCCTCTGCTGGGCCTATGTTCATTTCTGCACCATATGCCTCGGTGGGGGTGGACTCAGCCTGCTACCTGCACCACTATCATGTCCCAGGCATCTCCCAGTGTCCAGCCTGTGGAAGCTGTGAGGATTATTCTGGAGGTGAGGGTGGCAGAGCCCTCTTGTGGGAGCACAGCACAGAAACACATGGGTCCAGCAGCCAGCTGCTTTGAGTCACATGAGACACAAGCTACACCTGCAGGAGGGTCCTGCTGGGCAGCAGCCATCTAGGTGAGCCCCTCCTGTTCAGAGCCTGCACTTGGTGTCCAACTTCATGCCCTAGGTCACAACCCAAACCCTCCTACACTCCTGCCCCAGGGCAGAACTCCCTCCCAGGCCCTGTATCATCCCTGAGCTCCTGCACCTCAGCCTCCTCCTCCCCTTCTCCCAAACTGCACCACCCCCTCTTGTTCTGCAGTCCCCTACCCCAAGCTGCCTTCTCCACCCAACCTCCATCCCAGATTCCTCATCTCCAATATGGAAGAGTTTGGACCTTCACCACTGAAGAGTGGCCCCCCTCATCAAAAATTATTGCCCGCAGTTTTAGTGCAACATTTGCTTTAATGGGGTGTTCACTGAAATATGTCTCTGGGAGAACAGAAATATGATTTTAGCAGATGTCCTCTACACTACTACTCCAGTTCCTGTTCTGATGTGTAAGAATATGACTAGCTTTCACGGACAATACAGTAGTGAAGCACTGGTTGTAATTGTACTGTTTCCCTTTTTAATTTTTGTGAGGTTTTGCCTGATATATAAAGGAATTCCCTCTTTTTTAAAAGCAATAGATTTTTTTAGGCAGCTGTGTTAATACCACACTTAAGTGTTTTCTCTAAAAATGCAGCTTATTGTAAATTGAATTTTACTTTTAAGAAATGGTTAAGCTGTGTTTGTAACAAAAGCCCTGACCTATGTTATGATTAACGCTCTTGGGATTCTGTTTTCATGCCAGTGCTTTGGCAAACCTTCATATTGTGTAATGCAATGTGCAGTTAAGTAAACTATCACTTTTATCCTAGAGTGAAGTTTTACTTCATGTGGAAGAGGAAAGACACAGGGATAACTTGTGACATTTTCTTACCTTCCTACATCTACACTGACTCTATTGAAGCAGAATGGATTCTACAGGAGGCAGAAACTAGCATTCAGTTCCCACTGCCTTTGGATCCCTTACACTTCAGTTCTCAATTCAGATCACAGTGAACAAAAAAACTTGTCTTCTAGTTTTGGTTTCAAAAATCAGTTCCTGCATAAACAGTGTTTCAGGTCACACACTTAATATATACATCTTTACCGAAACATGTACTTGGTTGGAAAACTTGCCTTTAAATACAGTGTTTGGTTTTACTATTTGGTCATATAGTTTCCAACTTTGAACAGAACAGGTTCTGTTAATGGTAGAGCATCAGCCAAAACAGCTGTCCTTTGAACTGCTCAAGAATTCACATCAGAAGTATTTTGATATTCCTCTATGATATGCTTATACAAAATGTGAGGCTGAATGTTGCAGGTTCAGGGGGATGGTAGTTCCATTTCGGTGACCAGTTTGTAAGCTTAAGTGGAGAAAAAACTCAAGAACTAGAAAAACGATAGACCAAAACTAGGAGGGGCAGGGTCAATGCTGGCGCTTGATCCAAAATAAAAACCACTCTAGGTTCATCTAAAGGACAATGTTTATTTTTGTCAGAAATTCTAGAAATGAAGCAACTTAATCTTTTACAGTGGTTCCCAAACTTTTCGGCATCACACCCCTTTTTGATTTGAGAAACCCTCAGCTTCCCTTCCCCCCACCATAGCAGCAAAACCTGAGCAACAGAGAAAGGAACTCACCAGGGCCTAAACAAAAATAGCAGCAAAACTTGGGGGGGGTGGTTAGGTTGCCTTGCACCCCCCCTGGAATTTCCTCACACACCCCCAGTTTGGGAACCCACGCTTTACACTTTCTTCAAGGCTGCTCCATTGAAACTAAGGCAAAAGGTGTCGGTCACAAGGTCATGTTACCTTTAAACCTTTCAAGAAAAAGGTAATCGTACTTTCCTTACTTTCTGATTCTAATAGAGATCCCTCAACCTAATTTTATTTTCTTCCACTCTACAACACTCCCATCATACCATCAATAATTAAGTGTATTTAAATTCAAGAAACGTAGTGAATTACTCAGGTTCTCACTTTTTTTTTTTAACTCCTCCCAGTTGAGTATGTAGCTAGAGAATTTCAGATAACCACTAGGCATGTGAAAGTGTAACTTTAAATGGTTAACCAATCAGCTTGGGCTCTTCAGGTAACTTGCACTGTTACATACAAGTACCCCACTATGTGCAGAGATCTGACTTGAAAGCTGGCTGCCAGTACACACCAGCTCCTGCACCACGCTATTGTCTCCGTTTCCTACTGTGAAACGGCAGCATGGGGCGGTAGGCAGGAGTCAGTGGGCATGTAGGGAGTCAAGTGCCAACCCATATGTAACTCTTAACTGCTAAAAATTTCTGCAGTTATGTGGTTACTTAAAATGTGTGTAACATCCCTCATGCCCACTGTGTTACGTAGCACTTCTGTTGGTAATCTTAAATGTCTTTTTAAAGATTAGTTAACAGCCTGGTTCACTGACTTTTTTTTTTTTTTTTTTAGTCAAGAACAGATTTCCATTTTAGTTGTGGTTACCTTGTATGAAAACATCCCACCTGAAATTCTACTTTGTTTTATAAATCAATAAAACATTTAAGTTTTTAAACCCAGTGGAAGTCTTCAGTGCTATTAGTATTCTATTTCAAACCTCTACAAAAACCCAGGACCCAGTCACTCCAGATGATTTTCATATAAATTACCTATGAGTTTAGAACTTTCTTTTAAAAGGGAACATTATACTTTTAATTATAACTTCTAAATATTACTAAATGAAATAGCTGCATAGCTGAATTTGTTTACATTATGCATTTGATAGCTTTTACACTTAGCAAATCAGTTTTTTCCCTTAATGAAAATGATCTGGAAGCAACAAAAAAAAAGTCAACAAGCCATTCCACTATAGGATAGAGAGATGCTGGTTTATACCAGTTCAAGGACACAGGTTTAAATATCAATGACAAAATTCCTTTAAATAACCAAACTGCCAGAAGCTTCCCTGAACTGAATTCAGAAGAAGTAGTCTCAGATTAATTTCCGGTGGATGGGTGTTGACATGAGAAGCGGCACTTATCTACAGTCACTACAGAGAATGAACAAAATTGTGTTAGACTGGATTATCCTCCATGTATTGGAGAGAATCACTCCTAGGCAATGCAGGAAAACTTACTTTGCTATTGCCTATTTGTGTCTATCTCCTTGAACAAAATTCATGTCTGCTACTAATCTCATTAAGTGTATTCAGAGGTGTACAATTCCTTTTCTACATACTATTTCTATCTTAATATTTATTAAGCTCCAAACAAGTTCATACTATACCAACTTCTATTTGTAAAGTCAGGCTTGGTGACTACCTGAAATTTTATTCTACGCTTGGGTAATAGAATGGTATTGAACTGTAAGTTAACTGAAAAAACAACAAACCCAAAAACAAATCCCAGCCCCCGCTGCACAATCACTATGCATGGGTACAGAAATTCCTACAGCAGGTGTTGTCAGTGTACCATTCTTGTCAGTATTCACAACCTTAAGGATTAAAAGTTACCTTATTGCTATTAAGACAGCATTCCACCATTACTCCTCACCCCTATGTTCACTTAGTATTTTACATTCTATGTATTTTTTCATGATCCACAAAGCTATTTAGATTATGCAGGTTATCCCACCATTTAAAAAGAAAAGTCTCTGCAATTAATTTAAACCATGGAGTAATCTTGATTTCATTTTTTGATGCTTTTTCCATGAGTTGTTTTAGTTCTTCCTGTGTCACATAACAGTAGCTTTTGATCTCATTAGGATCAGGAGTCAGTGTTACATTCTTCTGCACAAACAAGATGTAATCAATTTCGTGTTCTCCCCAGATCCCATCAGAGCGGGCCTTGTAGTGAATTCGTGTAAGATAGAAGATTTCTTCAGGAGTTACCTACAACCAAAATCCTTAATTAAGCAGCAGTAGAGATAGGGAGATGTGGTCAAGATATGAATCACCTTTCAGAAAAGACACTGTTAAAACAAAAACAACCCACCACTCCTACTGTTTCTGGGACAAAAACAAAAACACACCGCACACACCAAACCAACAAAAAACAAACAAACCACTTTGAAGCTTATTTCTAAAACACAAATAAAAATTAGAGGAAAAAAAAGTTTTTTTTTTTTTTAAAGTTTTTGTCCTTTTAGAATAGGTTTCACTGTTAACTTAATAGCATATGCATTTTGGGTTTCTTAATGGAAACAAACATTTTAAATAGTGAAGTAATTATAAATCCAATACTACAAGGGGACTCAGTCAGGTATCCTACTTATTACTCCTTTGAACTTTGATAAGTAACTGGGTACAGCAGCCCTACACATCATTGCCAATTTGTAGTTTTACCATAATTGAAATATTTTGGGGTCACTTTTTAAAGCTGGTGATTATAGTGTCGTTTCCCATGTTGGTAAACATTAGAGAATTAAAACTGAAATGATGAAATCTTACTCTGCACCATGTTATTTGCTCTTTGCCTTGTATTTATGTTTAGAAGAAGTTAGAGAAGACATGTAGAATCTGCAACACACCTGTGCCAAATGACTCAACAATATTCACACACATTCCTAAGCAAGTGGATCTCCAAAGTTAATAAGTCTAATTTCTCTTCAGTGTAAGCTTTTGCTTAAAATCCCATCTGGTAGTTAGTTTGTGCCAGATTCAAAAGTTTGTTTATTATTCAATAATTTTTCTTAAGATAAAACAGTAGCAAAACCCACTATTACCTGTTCCAAGGGAATTCCTAACTCTGCTTTTAATCGCCGCTGTGCTGCTTGCCGAACACCCTGGGCATTATTTTCTTCCAGTTCTAATGGGGTGCTTAGTGGATGACTGCAACAAGTGTTGGTAAAACAATCTGTAAAAGGTTCGTGTGTAGTAAGTGTTCAGCACAGTAAAATACATTGCAGAAAGCCAGTATATACACAACAGCTGCAGTACCAGTCAGCATGTTTTTTTAAAAGATGTCTGCATATCTCCATCTCAAAGTTTGAACCTATTCCTACTTTGTTTCTATTTGACAGACAGATTTCCCCATTTCAAATATTTCTAAAGTTAATTTTAACTTGTGGCATTATACAGGCAGTCCCTGACTTACGCGGATCCGACTTATGTCGGATCCGCACTTACGAACGGGGCTTTGTCGCCCCGGAGGTCGAGGTAGCGGATTGCTACCTGCGAGCTCCGGGGCGAGAGAGCCCCGTTCGTAAGCTGCTCCGGTGCCCCTGGTCTGCTGGAGACCATCTCCAGCAGACCAGGGGCACCGGGCGGTTCCCGCGCTTCTGAGGCTTTGCCAGAGCAAAGCCTCAGAGGCGCGGGACCGGGCTAACGGGTCTGCTTCTTCCTTTCTATTCACAAGGCCAGTAACCCTGTCAAAGAAGAAACTTAAGCTCAGTTTGCATGATTTGTTCTTCACAAATCCATGCTGGCTGTTCCTCATTACTCTGTTATCCTCTAGGCACTTGCAAAATGACTGTTCAATAAATTGTTCTGGTACCTTTCCATGTATTGAAGTTAGGATGACTGATCTGTAATTTCCCACATATTCTTTATTCTCTTTTTAAAAGTCAGGTCTTCTTCAGTCCTCTGGGGCCTCCAGGGTTCTCGAAGATAATTACTAATGGTTCCAAGTTTGCAAGTTTGCTTCAGTTAATATCTTATGTAACCAGGATGAATTTCATCAGGTACTACTAACTTGAATCTACCTAATTTATCACAATATTCTTTAATCTGTTATTTTCCTATTTTGTCTTGGGTTCTTCCCTCGTGTTGTGAATAATTGTATTAAATATCTGGTCACCATTAATCTTTTTAATGAAACCTGAAGCATAATAGGCATTAAACCTCCCAGACCTTCTTGATGTCATCAGATCTTCTTCCTCACTAAGCAGACTAACACTTTCTGATGTCTTCCTCATGCTCCTAACATTTTTAAAGATCTCTTCTTATTACTGCTTATACAGGCAGTCCCCGCAGTTACGAACGGGGCCCTTCCTCTCCCTGGTCTCCAGCAGACCACGGAGAGGAAGCAAAGCGGTGGAACACGCGGGCAGCGGACAGGGTTATCCGCTGCCCACGCGCTCCGCGGCTTGGCTCTGCTTTGCCCCCCCGTCTCCCTGGCGGTCAGTTTCAGCAGCGGCTGAATCTGGACGCCAGTTCCGACTTACATACAGATTCAACTTAAGAACAAACCTACAGTCCCTATCTTGTACGTAACCCGGGGACTGCCTGTAGTGTCTTATTTGTGCTGCAGTATTACCCTGCATTACAAATGCTTTCCTTTCCTTCCCGCCCCCTGCTACAAAAAGGATCTCATCTTGCATTTTAAGATCAGCAGGCGAAACACACTGTATTGTTTATCCTGTAGATATTACTTGGAGTGTTTTGAAAGTTTGATAAACAGAATCCAAAATATACTTTCCAGCAGATTATGTGGATCAGTTTTGAAGCTGCAGGACAAGCGAGTAATAAGCTGCTTACTTATTTAGGACTTCCCTATACAAACACTCAGGGGTTAGGTCTAGATTACGGGGCTTTATTGGAAAAAGCTATGCAAATTGCACTCTGCAATTTGCATAGCTTTTTTCCGATCGCTTATGCAGATCTAGAAGAGGCCAAATGGCAGAAAAGCCTCCTCTTTCGGCGGAGCCCTTATGCCTCATGAAATGAGGTATACAGGGCTCTGCCGAAAGAGCGCGTTTGCTCTTCCACAAAAGAAAAAAAGT